TAAAGTTAAATATATATTATATCCCGCTTTATCTGCATGCATGCATACAGTACACTGACATAAAGCAATTTATGTACTATTAGTTTTTGCTTCAAAATATTTCTATATAGCTTTAATTTTTAACTTCAGTTTAAATTATTTCATGTAGTTTTCAAAGCAAAATCAGGGATATTACCGTTAACTAAAAGTAAAACACTAAAAAACATTTTCATTACTTAAATAAAATGAACATTAAATTACTTTTTAAAATTATTTTGTTGTGCACATTTGTCTTTTTTGTTAATTTTTGTTTTAAATATTTCAACATAGCTTTAACTTATTATTTCAGCTTTAACTTGAGTAATTTTAGTTTTTGATCAGGGTTGTTATTGTTAATAAAAACTAAAACCATAAAAACATTTTCATTATTTGAAATAAAATAAACACTAGCTAAAATTTTTGAGTTTCAGTAATTTTATGTGCTTTTGTCATATTATTTTTTTTTGTTTTTAAATCATTGTACATATCTTTAATTTATTTTTGTTTCAATTTTAGTTTTAGTCATTTTAGAACTTCAAATAAAATTTTCAGTTAGTTGCCAAGGCAAAATTTCAATTTTTTTAAGTTTAAGTTTAACAATTTTAGATTTGAATTTTTAGGTAATAAAAATATTTGTAGGTAATAATAATAAATGTATTATTATTTTATAATAATACATTTTTTTAAATTTTTCTAATTTTTTTAGGTCTCGTACTGTATCGCGTACTTTGTCAGTGTCGTGTGCTTTGCTTGGCCATTTGTTGTGATAAACAGTAAAGTGTGTCCAGCTGAATTCAACTTGAGTTTTGTTAAACTAATAAAAAAGAAGCTTAGTTTACCGCGGCTGCGGTCGTGTGCAGACCGAAGAGTGTAAAGACCATCGACTCTACCGTGCGACTCCACCGGGCAGACAAAGGATATCGCTTTCTATTTCTCCTCTTTCCTACTACTTGTTTCACTTCTGTTTCAGTTTTTCATAACCATTTCTTACTATCAAACTACATTAGTTTATCAGTAATCCTCAAAAAAATAACACTGAGCCAAACACACATGCTAAAATAACAACAA